CCACATTCCTTTGAGTTCAAAATTTGTGCATATCATATTTACAAGGTGGATTTTTGACCTTCGCGGTCGATTTTCTCAGTTGATATTGGTCGTTGGAAGCTGAAATTTGGCGAGGATGTAGGAAAATTATTATCCTGCAGCATACCAAAAGCTTGATTTTGTAGGACCGGCGTAAGGTGGAAAAATTCGGCGTTGAAGTTGACCAGTTGGCCGGCCGAGAGCGATCGGCTGCCAGCCTTTAACCCTTTTCTCTTCACTCTGGAGATGGTCGAAATCTAACCCTCCCAAAACACACTAAAACAGCATCAAAATCGAAAATAACCCCTCCAAAAATGTTCATAAACTATTGAACCATCTTTATTGAAGTTTTTTGATATTTCAAGAATGAAAAGATACGGTTTAGAAACGATATTTTGACAACATGTGAAAATCCGTTAAGTTTGTCGCCACAGGTAGCCCATCTCCCGTAACTCCTCAGAGACTGGTAAGCCTGTGGTCAGGTATTCCCAAATTTTAAAAGAGATTTCGATAGTAAAGAACAACATATTGTATTTCTACATTGTTTTCGATTACATAAACCTACCTTGAAACATGTTAATTTTTAAAGCGCTTATACAGCTCAGATCTAAGCGCTGAGAGCCAAAAAAAATACAGATAAAAAATTACAGTTTATAAATAAAATTTACAAATTAAAAGCAAGTTTGAAAAAATAAGTTTTAAGGCAGGATTTAAAAGAGAGTTAATGTCAGTAATGTTTCTAATAGATGCAGGTAGAGAGTTCCATAATATGGGAGCAGCAACAGAAAACGAACGATAACCACAGGACTTCAATTTGTACGATTTTACAGACAGCAACACTTGAGATGACGAACGAAGTAGAATTTCCAAATGTGCACGAAATGAACTTATAATCACCGTGCGGTTGTGGTGACTATACGCAGTCTCTATCATGACGTCTTCTGCTTGACTAAAGTTAATTCTACTTTTCTTGACCTTCTTTCCGTCTTTTTTTACGGCTTTTTTAGCCCTCCGAAGGAACTGTCAAAAATGTGTTGTCTGCGTAAAGATCCATCGCGAAGTGTTTTGCAGGAACTTAACATGTCATAACTTTTATTTATGCGCTGATGTATAGGTGAATGAAAAGTGACATGTCCACGATGGAACAGCGTAACAAGCGTTATCAATTCATCATCAGGTCTTCTTTTGCATTGAAATATGGCAAGAGAAAGGTTGAATTTAAGTTGTTTTCTATTGTTATTTTCATATGAAGCCCGTGGTCGGTACAACAGAATTCCGGCCCTTTCGCGTGAGAAATTTTGATGCCCATATAATAAAAATCTTTAATCCCCCTATTGTTAGCTAGAGGCACTATATTAGATTTATACAATAGACCATTGGCTTGTGCCAAAAGCTGTCTTCTGCCGMTAAAACAAAAATCCCTAATATCATTCAAAAGCTGTTATGGTTGTCCTGGCGCCCTTGACTGTACTACTGTTGATTATAACTACATCCATTATCTGTCTTTGCTATAGGCTGTGGAAAGCGTCCCATGTGGGCGCGAGTTATCAACGGTCAAGATGCCACTCCACATGCATGGCCATGGCAGGTATCACTGCGCGTGCGTGGAAGACATATTTGTGGCGGTTCGTTGATTAGAAGTGACTGGGTGTTGACGGCCGCCCACTGTGTGGACAGGAATCCCAACCCAAGTGGTTATACGGTGGTAGTAGGTAAGCATTGGCGCAGCATCGATTCTAAAATTCATTATGAATAATATCTTCTTTCAATACATGTATTAATAGGTTCTATTATATTTTATAAATTTATTTCTACGACTTTAGAAACAAAATTTGTATGAACTTTATCATTTTTTGCAAATAAAACACTCCTGWAATCAACGCCTGTTGTCGTCGAAAYGTCGTGGAAAAACGTRTTCGTTATATCTTTTRTTATATAAAATGGAAATGAATGGTCACACCAAAATAGAAATGGATGAGAAATGTCAGTTTACCAAAGACTTATTATTCTATAACATGTATTTTAATTTTATTGCTGCTATTGTGCTGTCAGTACGTCCGCTTATTAAAATTATTATTTTTTTGTTTTTCAGGTGCACATCGACGAACTGGAAGTACTTCAGTMCARCAGACTTTAAGACTCAAGAAACTAATCAAGCATTCTGGCTTTTCTATGCAGAATCTAAAGCACGATGTGGCACTGCTACAGCTAGAGAGACCAGTTAGTATTAGTGATAAGGTTGGACTTGCCTGTCTGCCGTCGCGAGAGGCACAAGTTGGGGCGAAATGTTACATAACAGGTTCGTTAAGATCTCCAAGGGAATTGAAAACGCCTCAATTACTGTTATCYTGTTACATAGATTTTTGTTGCCAGAACATATRTAGGAGGGTTTTGTCCAATACCGACTCCAGGRRCGTAACCTAGAACTAGGATTCCTTGGATAGCGACGCTATATATTCTATGATTTAAAGATTTTTAATAAAACATGAGATGAACATAAATAAAACATGAGATGAACATGAAATTTTTCTCTTTTTTCAGTATATGTGTTCTTGMAACAAAAATCTATGTAACAAGAATAAAAATAGATCAAATAAGAATAAGAATAARAATAAAAAAACATTTTTCATTTGCRTGGAAGAGGATATATAAATGGCTTTAAAATTCGATATTTATTCATAAAAAGTTTGATTCATCAATATAATATCATAGCCTTTGTTATTCGATTTGCCAGGTTGGGGTAAAACCATCGGGACGGGCAGTCAATTGCCAGATATTCTGCAACAAGCAATGCTCCCTATTGCTTCTCATGAAAAGTGCAAACAAAAATACAGCATTTTAGATAGGTCTGCTCATCTGTGCGCCGGTGAAGCTCGTGCAGGAGCGTCTGGGGGATGCAATGGTGATAGTGGTGGGCCATTAGTTTGCAATGATAATGGACGATGGGTACTTCATGGAGCGGTTAGTTTTGGTCAAAGGAACTGTCCAACAACTCACTACACTGTGTTTGCTAGAGTCAACAGCTACCTGAATTGGATGAATAAACATATGGGAGGACGTAAGTTTCTGAATGCCGCATATAGCTATWAAAATTCTTAATTTAGCAAAATAGATATAAATGTAAAACGCGTGTAGACATACTTCTGCATCTCATTAGGTATATTATGCATCGAATCATTATGTGTGTGTATGCACAAATCTCAAACCACARTATTTTTACTATTGACTGTATAATCTAAATTATAAAAAAATACTGAGTTTGATGTTTATATGCAAAATTCACATAGCTAGAAGTAATATTTGTTCTTCGAAAAACCGTCCGACACGATGAATTGAATTTGCACTTTTGTCAATCCCATGGTGCGTCTCAACATTTCATACGTTAATGGACGTTGAGAGTAACACGTGATAAGGAAATGATCATTGAGATTTGATTTGTACGTTTAATTCTGACCTGACAACCTTCTAAAATTTAGCATCAATAATATTCATTATTCATTATTCTTAAAGAGCATATGACATGGTAAACTTTCTTTCCTGTTTCTAGTAGTTCAATATATATGTATCAAAGTTT